AAATGCACTTTTTCATTAAAAAAAAATGGTACAACCACTTGTCAAGTTGAAAGAGCGAATGCAGTGTACCTCTCACTTAAACAAACTGGCTTCGCCACGGAGCAACACTAATTTGACACACCTGTTATATTATTTGGTGCTGTTTGACCCCCATTATTTTAAAATTCTTTTTCTACCTACTCATTTTCAATCGCATGTTAATTGTTACGTGAATATTTTAATCTCAATTATTTAATACACATATCAATTAAACAGTAGAATACGTTATGTATATTCAGTGAATAAAAAAAATTCTCAGTTAGAGAGACAATTTGCACATGGCAAAATGATATGATTATTTTGTCAATAAAAATATAAGAGTATATTCAGGAGACTCTCTAAACACAAAATATTCCATATTTTAGATAGTTAATGTTTAAAAAAAAAAAGCTCTAAGAAATATTTTTTTACGATAAAAAAGGTTTGGAGAGTCAAACTCACCAGTCACCCCCATATGCTTAATTAACAATAAATAAGTTACGCATTTTAATGAATAATGCTATTTAGTATCATTGTTGTTACAACATCAGTTTAAGTGTTACTTAATGCAATTAAATAAAAAATACGATAAAATGAATGCATAATTTTATCTTTAATTGAATCTATCACATAATATCACATGGACGCTAGATAACATCATTCAATTTTAATACTCTACAATTTAAATTACTCGAATCACATTTAAATTAATTAATCATTAACATATAAAAAAAATATGTTAATTAAGAGATGATGAAAAATCAATAATGTTCATCCAAAAAATAAAATAAAGAATCAAAACAAAAAGTATTGTTGAAATGTACAAAAAAATTTACTATCTAAATTTAAAACTTGTCTTTTATTGAATTTATCTGTGTGTTTGATGCATATATTTTAGAAAAGAACACATTTTTTTATGTGATGGAGAATATGTGGTTGAAAAAGAAGGAAATTTATTGACGTGGTGAAAAATATTATTTTATTGAAAAATGTGAGGTTGAAAATGAGTAAAAGAATAAGAATGAGAATGTGAATGTAACAATATGCCCACAAAAGGTTTATAGTATATTGGTGGTGCCAGTGAAGCAAAACACTAGCTTTGTTGGAGCCGAATGTTGCACGTTTTCAACCTGTTTGATAAAATGATCCAGTAAACAAAAATAAAAATAAAAAATTAATGCCTTCCATTCAAAGAAGAATTATGTTGCTCTGCTAGGCCTGGCAGAGCCGAGCCTCTCACATGAGGTGGGTCCCATGTTGGACCTGTCTCATTAAAAAATCACCCCAAAAATATCCACATCACTTCTGTTTGTATGTGTTCGGAAGGACCTGTGCACCAAGCTTCATCCACTTCAAAGAAAGAGTGTCGTTCAGTCATTTTTTTTAAAATTTTTGTCATTTTTTTAAAGTATTTGTTACTTTTTTATTTTCTGCCACTTTTTTGAGTGTCACTTTTTTTATTTTCTATTGCTTTTTTTTTTATTGTTTGTTACTTTTTTTTTTAGTTTCTGTCATTTTTTAGTGACAAATATTACTTTTTAATAAAAAGTGACATTATATGTCATTTTTTAATAAAAAAAAGTGTATCAACTTTTAAAAATGACTTAGTGGTAGATTATGTTTTGGTTAATACTCGACCATTCTCTTGAGTGGGTAGACCGTGTGTCACTTTTTAATAAAAAAAA